CAACCAAGTTCATCAATACATTAACATGGCAATAAACTCATATTACGAACATGATTAACAAATACAAAAATAGAAACTGATTTAGTAAATGGATCTGTCAAATTATCCTTTGAGATTACTTTATTAACAAAGATCTTCCCTTTCTTCAGCATATCTCTAATATAGTGATACATACCTTCAATATGTTTTACTTTGAAATGACACATTGGATCTTTGCTTATGGCAATCGCTGAAGTATTGTCACAAAAGATCATAATTGGTCGCTCCACACAAGGTATCACTCAAAGATATTTCAAGAATTTCCTGAGATATACTGCTTCTTTTGTAGCCAAATTAATAGCTACGTATTCAGCCTCCATGGTTGACTAAGCAACACAATATTATTTTTACTCTTTCAAGAAATAGCCCCACAACCAAACATGAAAACATGTCTATAGGCTGTCTAAAAATCACAATGGATATCTTATCCCCATCAAACACTAATGATGGAAGTTACAATCTGACGACTTCCAGAAGGCTACAATTTGAAGACTTTCACGTAGGTCGATGAAGGTTACAATCTGACGACCTTCACAACAACTGATGAAAGCTCTAATCAATAACCTTCACAATCAACATCAGGAGTTACAATCTGACGACTCTCACATATCAAAGAGCTAAAGCAAAGATTACAAAACGACGATCTTTGCAACGCTCTGACAGAAAGAGACTACAAATCGATGATCTCTTCAATCCAAGACACAAGACTCATCCCTGTATCCCAGAGGTGAAGCACAAGTGGTCTCATTCCAGAGTCAAAGCTATGCAAACACAGCTCCTAAATGCTGCAAACACAGCTTCCATTCGCTGCCAAACACAGCTCCTAAATGCTACAAAACGCAGCTTCCAACCTCTACCCAATGCAGCTTCCAACTGCTGCTAAACGCAGCTTCCATCCGCTGCCAACGTAGCTTCCATCCGCTGCCAAACGCAGCTTCCAAATTGCTGCGTCTGAGCTTCCAGACACTGCGTTTGAACGCAGAATTCATGCCAGAACGCGGATTTTGCGTTTAACTCGTTCAAACACGAGCTGAAGAGTTTCAAAACCGTTTCCCACGATCTGAGGGGATCACAACTCCACTCAGGAGTGATTTAAGGGGCGGTTACATCTCATTAGCCCCACTTAGGAGCGAATTAAGGGGGCAGTTACACCCCTTAATCCTTTATAAATAACTAAAAATCAGCTTAGTTCGGATCCTGGATTTTGGAGGGGGGGGATCTCTCATCCGGCTCTGGGGCAGCAAAGAAGAAATCATTGGCTTATCTAACCAATTACGGTTAAGATCAATCAACTCTTTCATAGAGTTTCAAACTCATTCAGAGTTCTCCACAACGTCAAATCGTGAGGAGAATACCACGTTCCAGTGAATCAAGACATTCGGATCGTCAACGGAGAGCAAACTCGACGCGAGCATTCGAGGGAGGTACTCCATCGCCACCGTGAAGAACCCAGAATTAAACAAAAGGGAGAATCAAATTCATTCTCCTCTCTTTTGTAATCAGGAAATCTAATTGTAATTGAGATTGAGAGAATACAAATCAATTTTCTTTCATTTTTATTTACTGTAAATTTTTCCACAAACAATATCCAGAAGTGGACTTTCTAGTATCTACACAACCCTGGTAATCTGAATTAGAATACCAATTAGCTACAATTCATCTACTTGAAAACTTAAAACAAATGTTCTTGTCCTTTTCAAATAACGTAATACACGTTTAACTCCTTCCTAATGATTTTTATCAGGATTAGATTGAAATTTACTCAAAACTCTAACGGTAAAAGCAAGATCTGGTCTTGTACACATCACAACATACATAAGACTACCCATAGCAGAAGCATATGGATATTTTCTTTCATTAAGTTTATCAGCAAGTGGTAATGGATGATCATCTCTAGACATCTTTTTTGTTGCATCAAATGGAACATTACCTTCAGAACAACGATCCATCTTGAATTGATGAAAAACTTTGTCAATATAATTTTTTGGCGACAAATTTAATCGCCCTTGAGACCTATCCCTAATAATTTTAATACCAAGGATATATGACAACTTGGTATATTATATATGTAAATCGCCTATCTCGACGAGACGGAGGCAACTAGATTGTCAGATTTTTAAAATTTCATCAGTAATACCCAGTTTTAGCTAAAATCTAAAAATAATCATTTTTTAATTTATTTTGAATAATAAAGTTGGAGTCTATTTAGATTAGGAAATAAATTCAATATTAGAGTCAAGTTAGATTAGGAAACAAATTCTATTTTAATTCATGATTTATTTCCTCTATTATATGGAGTCTTTTTATGGTAGAATTTGATTCTTTTTATTTCTTTGTAATTCTAGTCTTACTAGGAGCCTTGTTTTTTTTCTATTTAAGAAAAAAAAATTGTAAACCTCATGAAGCATATCACTTTTATTAATAAAATTCTCTTTTATATTACTTCGTGGATTCGATGTTGTCTCTTCATGGATTTGAAATTTGTTTTTATGGATTTAGAGAACACTCGTTGGAGAATTCTGAGGTTTACCACTTCCACGTTGCGTTAGACTAGGATCACGAATATTGCATCCGATCGAATTGGTTACGAGTTGGATTCTTAACTTGTTGTAATGAAATTCAAACCCCATAACCATATTAAGATATATTGATCAAATTGAACCGAACTAAATGTGTTCACCCAAATTGGATAGATTGAGCGCAACTACTTGAACTATAATAGTCAGTTTGATTCAGTATAGAATCTAGAATGGATCGGTTTGGTATGACGGAAATTTGACAAAACCTACCGAAATCGTCCTAAATGTAACATTTTTTGCTTGGTATCAAACACCACCTTTTATGCTTGGTACCAAGCATACATATGACACGTCACTACCAAACACCACTTTTTATGCTTGGTACCAAGCATACGTATTTT